CTGTGGAAGGTGCATCCCATGTGGATGCTCGTGCAGGGAGGAGCTTTTCTGTTTAAGTGAGGTTTGCTGGGCAGGCACCTTGAGCTAAGCCCAAAAGATCCTCTTGGTCGGCAAGGAGGCGCCAGCGGCGGAGCTGGAGCAGAACAATAGCGGCATGAGTGAGGCCGGAGAAATCCCAGGCAGGGATGTGCCCGGGCTAGAGGTGCGCGGACAGCGCTGGCCTCGGGGCAGGTGCAGCTGGGAGGAGGCCTGGGGCTCCGTGGCGGTGCGTGGCACATGCTCCCTGATGCTCCCGTGCCTGGCACTTCCCTCTCCCTCTGGGCAGCTCTGCCACCTGCTCCCCTTGCATCAGCTCACACGTCACGCGTAAGCCACAGAAACCGGGGGTGGCGATGGGGAGTCTCCTCTTGCGTCCTCTCCTCTATTTAGGCAGAAGCTCTCGTGCTTTGTTTGTAATTTCCTCCCTGACCTTGGTGTCAGCTGCTTCTCCTGCACTTTGTGCAATCCATCCCTTGGCTTCCCCACTTTGCCCCTCACCATCGCTCTGTTCCTCCCGCCGTGCTTCCTCTGTAAGTTTGATGCCGAACGCGGGCTTGCTGGAGGGTCGTGGTGTGGCCTGGACCTCGGAGACCCTCTTGAGAGCGGCTGGAGCCAGGTTGAGGCTTGGACGCAGGGGACACGAGGAGGGGTACAGTGAGTGCCCGTTATAGCAGCAGGGCATGTTAGGCACGGAGTTGGGCGCTCATGGTGATTTTGAGGGATGGAGGTCAGCTGGAGGCCTCCAGCGCAGAGATTTGGGGTCTGGGCTTGGGGGGCAGCAGGCTTGGGGAGCCAAGCGGCTGGGTGCTGTGCTGGGCGGGTGGGTGCTGCAGGGCTCATCCTGGCTGAAGGGCTACGTGCTGTCCTGGGGGAGCAGAAGCCGCGGCCCGTGTGCTGGTCAGGGAGCTGCCCAGGACCAGGTGGCAGACGGGTGCTGTGGCATCGTGGCCAAGGAGGAAGAGGAAGCTGTTCCCTCGCCCTCCCTGGCGGGCTCCAGCGGAGGCTCCCTTGTTTACCGAGCCTGACTCTTCCCCTAGATGTATTCGGGATGGGACAGGAGGTAACCGGCCCAGCTCTTCCCCTGCCGCCCGGCCCCTTCACCCACCTGGCAGGCGGCCGCCGCGAGCCTGGAACACGGTGTGAAAGGGAAGTGTGCGGAGGAGGCGCTTGGCATGGGGTGGCCAGTGAGCCGGATCTCAGGGGGAGCAGGAGAGGGGCCAGTGTTTCTCTTTGTTTCTGCCTGGAGCTGAGGTTCCTTCTGGCTTTCTTGGAGGTGCCATCCGTAGTTTTGGGGAGAGGGATCCCCAGGATCCCAACTCAAGCTTGTGTTTGTGGGCTTGCTGGGTAAGGTGCTGGGAGAACGGGAGATGGAGGTGCAGGTCTGCGGTGGAGGCTGGTGGTTTGGGGGCCGCAGGGTACAATGTATTTTAGTTTGCTCTCTGTTTTTTTCACCTGCCCTACCCCATAGGGTTTGAGCCAACTGCTTGGCCAGGATGAGCTGGAGTTTCCTCACGCGGCTCCTGGAGGAGATCAACAACCACTCAACCTTCGTGGGCAAGATCTGGCTCACCGTCCTCATCGTTTTCCGGATCGTGCTGACGGCCGTCGGAGGGGAGTCCATCTACTACGACGAGCAGAGCAAGTTTGTGTGCAACACGCAGCAGCCCGGCTGCGAAAACGTGTGCTACGACGCCTTCGCCCCGCTCTCCCACGTCCGCTTCTGGATCTTCCAGATCATCATGGTGGCCACGCCGTCGGTGCTGTACCTGGGCTTTGCCATGCACCGCATCGCCCGGATGCCGGAGAACGGGCGGCGCCGCGCTCCGGCGGGCCGGCGCACACGCATGCCGGTCGTGCGCCGGGGAGCCGGGCGGGACTACGAAGAGGCGGAGGATGATAACGAAGAAGACCCCATGATCTTTGAGGAGATCGAGGTGGAGAAGGAGAAAAGCCCGGAGGGTGGGGAAAAGCACGACGGGCGGCGCCGCATCAAGCAGGACGGGCTGATGCGTGCCTACGTGCTGCACTTGCTGTGCCGCTCCGTGCTGGAGACGGCCTTCCTCTTCGGGCAGTACCTGCTGTACCGCTTCGAGGTGAGCCCGTCCTACGTGTGCAGCCGCAGCCCCTGCCCGCACACCGTCGACTGCTTCGTCTCCCGCCCCACCGAGAAGACTATTTTCCTGCTCATCATGTACGCGGTCAGCGGGCTCTGCCTCTTCCTCAACCTCTGCGAGCTCGTGCACCTCGGCGTGGGCCGCATCCGGGATGCGCTGAGCCAGCCAGACGACCCCCCGCACCTTGACGACACCAGCCCCGGGCTGCAGTTTGCCAAGAAAGCTCCCAGCGCGCCCCCCACCTACCACTCGCTGAAGAAGGAGCCCCTGAAAGCCCCGCTGCCCAACGGCAAGCTGGTCTACGGGGAGAACTTGGCCAACTCGGCGACGGAGCGCTTCGCCCTGGCCGGCGCTCCCCCAGAGCACGAGCTGGACAGGCTGCGCAAGCACCTCCGCTTGGCCCAAGAGCATCTGGAGATGGCCTTCCACCTCAACCCGCCGCTGGAGACTGCCAGCCCGTCCCGCAGCAGCAGCCCGGAGGCCAACGGCATCGCCGCCGAGCAGAACCGCCTCAACTTCGCCCACGAGAAGGGGGGCACTGTCTGCGAGAAAGCCACAGGTGAGCTGCGGAGGTGGCTGCTTGGGTCGCTCCCAGCTTCCCTGGGTCGCTCGGAGGAGCTGGGTTTCACCTGTCTGCGGGAAAAAGGGGCCGGGTGTCCCCTGTGAGGGGCAGGCAGGCCCCCCATGCGGGCAGGATAAGGGGCTGCCTGGGCTGGTGGCCTAGGGATGGGCACTAATGCGTGTTCTGCTCCCTGCAGGGCTGTGAGCGTCGCGTGGCTCCTCTGGGACTGTGGAGACGTCACCCGGAGTGGCTGCTCCTGCCATCACTGGAAAGACAGCCAGCCATGAGAGAGTGGGCTGAGGATGAAGGTTTCTCTCCCATGGGGCTGGATGGGGTTGTCCCTCATCCTGGTGGGCAAGGATGGGGAAGGGGTCATGGGGAACATTCCTTCACTCTTCTTAATTTTTAAAGAAAGGGAATATCTTATTTTTGTACATTTTTATAAACGCATCAGCGTGTGCCCTGGCATTTCTACTACACTGTGCTCCTGATTCCTGCTCTGGGCCTGCACCTTCCCTCCCTGCCTGGCCTGCTAGCCCTGTTTCCTTCTTCACGCAGTTCCAGCGGCAGCTCCCACCTGCATCCCTCCGTGCCGCACTGCACGTGCCCTCATTGGTGGCCGCATGGGCCAGGAGGGCGCTTCCCACGTGCAGGTGCTGCCAGGATGCTGGTTTTGCCAGAGCTTCCCCTGTGCCGCAAGGCGACTGCCCTGGAGCTGTGGTGACGTGGGGTCCAGCTGGCTGGGCCAAGTCCATGGAGCAGAGCTGGGCATTAAGGTTAAGTCAGGGATGGGCCGGGACAAAGGCCTGCGCCTGTGTCACTCCGGGCAGTTCCTGCTGGAAGCGGGAGCCTGCAGGCAGGCGGCTGCTTTCGGGGGGCTGTGCGGCAGTGCTGTGGGGCGCCCTCCCCTCACACGTCGGTACGAGCCGCCGGGATCCCCCGCGTGGGAATGCGTGTGCAGGGGCGGGCGCCGGCCTTGCAGCCGGACCCATTCGCCCTGCAGCAGCTTCGGCCGGTGTTTGGAGCAAAGCCGATCCCCGCTGCTCGGCGCGTGCCCCGAGACAGGAGCGTGTCCCGCTGCCGGGGGCGGCCGTGCCCCGAGCAGGGCCAGCAGGAGCCAGCCGGGCATTTCGGATCATCTCAGCCAGGGCCGCGCACTGATTTTGTAGCTTTGTTTTGTACTCAGATGATTGTGACTGTTTGGTTTTGTTTTTTTTTTAAATATTTTCAGTAAAGCCTGAAGATGTTTTGTACTGAGCTGCTGTATCTGGTCCTTGGGGAGGAAGGGGTGGGAAGCGAGTCCTGTGCAGATGGGCTGGCAGTGTGTGAGGGCGGGCGCCGTGGCGCAGAGGAAGCCCGGGCTGCTCCTCGGGCTGCTCCTCGGACGTCCCGTTTTGGTTTTGGCCGGGGATGACTCAGTTGTTCCTGCAGCGAGGAGGCGGCTTCTGCCGGGCAGCCCCCAGCGGGCGGCCAGGCCGCAGCCGCCTTGCCGGGGTCAGGGCGCCGGGAAGCGCCGGAAAGCGCGAGCCGCATTCCTCGGCATCGCGGCGCCCGGGGCCCTGCCAGGGGGGCTCCCCGCTGCTGCGGATCGGCAGTCCCCTGCCCTCCCTGCCCCAGGGCCGGCGCACACGCAGCGAGGCCTCGTGCCACATGGAGCCCTGTCCTTGGGCCAGGCAGAGGGCTCCCGGGCTGTCAGCGGCGGCTGCGTGGGGGCAGTTTATGGGAGAGGAAAGTGTGGGAGCAGCAGGCGGGAGCCCCGCGGCAGATGTGCTCCCAGGGCGCTTCCCCTGCGCGCTCAGCGCCACGGAGGGCCGAGCGCGTCCCCTGCAAGTGCCAGGGGGCCGGGGGGCAGAGCCGGCCGCAGCGGGGAGCTGGGCCGCACGGGCACCCTGTGCTGTCTGTGTGCGGCCCTGCGCGGCCGCCGCTCGCAGCCCGGCCGCGGGCCCCCCACGCCGGCGCGAGGCCGAGTGCGCGACGGGCCGCGCGTTGCCTTAGGGCTGGGCGGCCCCACGCGGGCAGCCTCAGGCCACTGCAGCCCATGGCGCTGCCCATTCCCGGTGGTCCCACGGGACCCTGCGCTGTGGGCAGCAGCCCAGCCACACTCTGCTGCCAGCCAAGTAGCTGTCGCTTTCCTTGGAGGCAGCGCTGCCCGGCCCTCCTTTCCCAAAAGCCTTGGGAATTTGCATGCCACTACCTAACCGCTCGTGGCCTATGTGGCTGCTTCGGGTTTAAGATGGCATTTAGACCTTTTTTTTTTTTTTTTTTTTTTTTGTGTAAAGAAAACAGGTTTATTTCACTCATCTCGTTAATCTTTCAAACAGGTTCTGCCACTCGCAGAGCGTTTACCTGCAGTGCCCTGCATACCGCGGGCCCCGCGACCTGTGCGAGATCCCAGCTCCGCCTGCCCCGGCACATCCCATCCTGTGTCCCCAGCCTTGCACCTGTCTGTCTTGCCGTGAGCTGGCCCGGCCTGCCCCACCACACCCTCTCCCGGGTCCCTGTTTCCATGTCCCCAGCTCCATGTCCACCTTCCCTGCCTCTAGCTGGGAACACGTGGGGCAGTTTGCATCTCCAAAACCTGCAGGGACCAAGCAGCCTCAGGCAAGCAGACCACTGAAGGGAGCACCCAGCAGCTCTCCACAGCTGGGTGCCCAGTCAGGGCCAGCAGGGAGCCAGGACACAACTTTGTGGGATTTCTCCAGAGGCATCTGCTCCTCCCTGTGGCCCTGGAACCAGGCTTGGGAGGGCATCTCTTCTCCCTGCCATCAGTGAGCTACTTTGAGGGGCTGCAGGTGCCAGCACAAACTCTGCCCTGGCAAAGCAGCCCGGAGACCTTGGGCTGCTTAGTGCTAAGCAGCAGGAGCGGGGCCTGCTTGTGCCTTCCCAGTCTTATTTGGGGGGATGGGAACAAATGTGGGATGAGCTGGTCAGAGATGAGCCCGGGCAAAAGCAGGTTTACATCCCTGCCTGGTCCCTGTCCCTGAGCTGGGGATGATGCCGCAGGTCTCCTTTGGCAAGTAACTCCCCCATCATCCTGGAGAGGACCATTTTGTGCCCAGGGACTCAGGGCCTTGCTCAGGGAGCCTGGGGCGATGGTGAGGGCGGCGCAGGGCAGGTCTGCGGGGGCTGTGAGACAGCCTGCGGCCGGGACACAGCAGGGCAGGAGGGCGCGAGCCGGGCGCTACACGCAGGTGCAGTCCTGGGCCAGGATGTTGGGCACCGTCTCGTACTTGAAGGAGTAGCCGCCGTCGGAGGTGGTGCGGACGCGCAGCGAGCGCATGGTGCCCGGCAGCGCAGCGCAGCACAGCTGCACCCCCAGCCGGTGGCTCAGGCCGTGGCCCTCGGAGCAGCTGCCGTGGCAGTAGTGGAAAACGAAGCTGCTGGGGTGCACGATCCAGTTGTCCCAGCCCAGCTCCTCGAAGGAGATGTTGAGGGAGGCCCGGCGGCAGTTGGTGTGGGCAGCCACGTCTTCCGAGGGGCGCTGCAGCTGCCCCAGGGCAGCGGGCGACCAGGGCACGGTGGAGCGGCGGGCCCGCTCGCTGCCCTTGGCCTGCGTGGTGGCCACCAGGAAGGGCATCTTCTCGCTGTCGGCCACGCAGGGGCAGCCGGGGCAGCGCACGAGCAGCACGAAGAGCGGCTGCGAGAGGTGGGGCAGCAGGGCGGACGCGAAGTGAAACACGGTCCAGTGGTCGGGCGCCGGCACCGCCGTGGCCAGCACGGGCACGCGGCCCTGCGGCGACAGCGTCAGCACGTCCGGCGCCGAGTGGTTGCGGGCGGCCACAGGGCCGGTGTAAAACCAGAGCTGGGCTGAGGTCACCGTGCGGCTGAGGGTGTGGGGTGACGGCTGGAAGAGGTAGGTGAAGATCCCTTCTTCCTCCAGCAGCTTGTCCGGCTGCGTGGACTCGCAGGGCACATCTGCAAGGAGAAAGAGATGCCTGCAGCGGCTGGGGCAAGCGCTGCGAGCTGAGTGTGTGAGCACGGAGGGCACGGAGGTGTCCCCACGCGTGGTGGGAGGCGCGGGGTGCCCAGGGGCACGGCGGTGGTGCCCGCTGCGCCTGGCGCGGGGGAGCTGACATCTAGCGCCGTGCGGCGGCTACTGCACGGCCTGGCGCCGGCCGAGCAGGTGCCCGCGCCGCCCCAGCGAGAGCCCGTGCCTGGCCGGGCAGTGCTGGCTCCTGCTGCCCTCCAAGCTGCGCGGGCACCCCTGCCCTTGCAGGGTGCTTGGCTCCTTGCAGCCTCCCGCGCGATGCAGAGAGGGGGTCCCAGTGTGCCCAGTGAGGGCTGCTGCCCCCACAGGGGGGCTCTTGGGCCTCCTGCTCCTGGCCAAGCAGCAGGACCTGCCCCAGGCCGGGGCAGCAAGCAGTGAGCAGCTCCCTGGGGCTGGGCCCTGGCGGGAGGCCAACCATGTCCCTCTGTGCCCCATGTCTCCTCCTATCCTGTCCCCGTCCCCGAGTACCTGTCCCTAGCATCCTGCCCTGCTGCCTCCTCATCCCTCGCCATCTCTTTGCATCCCACCTGGCTCTGACATTCCCCAGGCTTTCTGCCTCTCTCCTGCGTCTTACATCTCCCACCTGCCCTCTGCCCCTCTCCCTGTTGGGGTCCTGGGCTGATCTGCCACCCCTGGCTGCCTTCCCCTTCTGCCTCACGGCTCTCCACCTCCTCTGCCATCCCCATGTCCCGGCCTGGCATTGCTGCTTCTCCTCCTTCTGTCCCACACCCAGTCCTGCTTCATCCCTGGTGCCCCGACCCCACATGCGAGCTGCACCTCTCTGCCCTCTCCCTCCCCACAGGGCTCCTCACCTGTGGAAGGGAAGAGGATCACCTGGGAAGTGTCCTCCGGCTCTTCGTGCGGGGGCACTTCAGGGCTCTCCGGGACGTCTCTCCGATGCACTCTCCTCCCTTCCAGCGGGGCCCCCCCCTGGGGCGCAGGGGGGCTCAGATGCTCCAGCACCCGCGCCCGAACCTTGGCCAGGACGAGCTGCCGGTCGGCGCCCGCGCCGGTGCAGCTGGCCGGGGCGGCGGGGGGCAGCAGGGCGGGCAGCAGGTGCAGGAGGAGCAGCATGGCCGTGGGGCGCGCGCCGGGCCGGCTGCTCGGGGGGCTCTGCCGCTGGCGCCTGCCTGCGCGCCCAGCCCTTCTGCCCGCCGCGCTCCGCCTGGGGCACGGTGGCATTGAGACGTATCTGACACTGACGCAAACGTCTGCTCGCTGTGAATATTATCTCTGGGCAGCAAAAGCGCTGAGACGTCTGGAATGCGAGGACTGCAAGGACAGTGTGGTCTGGGGGGGAGGAAGGCGCCCAGGGACGGGGGCACGGGGTGATGCTGCCGGGGGCAGTGGGTACATGGGCTGGGGGAGGCCAGGCCATGGGCAGGGTGCTGCCCTGATGCACCAGTGTGGAGGCAGGGGCAGCCTGGTGTGAACGTGGCAGCTGCCAGTGCGGGGTAGCCCCATGTTGGAGCAGAATGGGGCTGCTGTGGGTTTGGGGCTTCAGAGGAGACAGGGAGAGGTGTCTGTGCCCAGTGGTGACACCTGGGCACACACCTGATGTGTCCCAGGGCCCTGCAAGGCCCTGAGTCGGGAGGGACATAGAGGGTGGCAGGCTGGGGATCCTCATGCTAGAGATGTCTGGGCATCCTGAGGCCTCAATAGAGCAAAGACATGCCAAGGAACCTGGGGGAGCATGGGCTGGGGCGAGGGCGGCTGTGGCATCCCCAAGGCAGGCAGCCCATTGTGGGCAGGAGGAAGCTGGCAAGGCCCTGCAAGGCAGAGTGGGAGGGATGGGAAGAGGGTCCCTGCAGCCTGTGGCAGGCAGTGTCCATGGAGGGACTGGAGCAGACTGGGGTGCAGGGACAGGAGGAGGAGGCCAGGCAGGGCTGAGGCACCTGCAGACCCTGCAGGGCACCGGCTGGCAAAGCTCCTGGTGTCCCTGTGCTGCCCAGTTGCAGACCTGGTCCTAGGGACTGGGCTGCTGGTGGCACGTGGCTGTGAATGGACTCAGCGCATCCTGCCCTGGATCTCCCTGCACTGCCTGCAGGGAATGCCAGGGGTCCTGCATGTCTTCAGCCTCTGTGCCAGCCCATGCTGTGGCAGCCCCATGTCCTACACAGTGCATCCTATGTGGTATATCCTGTCCCACTGCAGCCTGGCATCCTGAGCAGTGTGTCCCACTGGGCACATCCCATCCCACAGTAGCCTGGAGTCCCACACGGTGTGTCCCGCATGGTCTGTCCCATCCCATTGCAGCTTGGCACCCCATACAGGGCATCCCCTGTGGCACATGCCCCACACTGTGCATCCCAGGCAGTGTGTCCTGTGTGGCAGCAAGTCCAATGTTGTCTCTCCTCGGTGCCACGTAGCAGTTCCTCCTGCCGCAGGGTGACCCCACACCGTGGCACCACTGAGTCTGCCCTGCGCCCGAGCCCTGGAGGTCAAGGACTGCCTGGGGCTCCGGGCGGCCGCTCTCCTGCTGGGGCGCTATACATAGGCCAGCCCTTCCCGGGCAAGGCACTGAATGGAGCAGGCTCAGTCTTATCAGCCCCCTGTGTCATCAGAGGGTATTTTTGGGGACAGCAGCTGCAGGCGTTTGTAACGTTTGGTTGCTGCATGTTGACGTCCAGTAGCGGAGCTGGGGAGGCAGCAGGCGCAGGGTGCCAGCACTGGGAGACGCAGGCAGGAGGCAAAGGAGCGAGGTGCGTGTGTGGGGCAGGGGACAGGGCGGAGGACAGGGCGGCTGGGTCGCTGCGGGCATGGGGGGCAGCTGGAGGGGAGGAGCGGCACGGCAGAGCCCTCCCGGCTGTGCCTGTCTCTGGGAATGGCTGCTGGGCTGTCCCCGGGGTGTGGAGGAACACCTGGCCGGGCACGCATCTCTGACGGCATGCTTGGCCTGCAGGGAGCTGCCCGGGAGGGGAGGCCGTCCCTTCCCTGCCGGCCCAGCCCGCCCGTGCGGGCAGTACCGCGGCTGCTCTCTCCGCGTGTCCCCCGTGTCTGCCTGAGCAAGGCCATGTGTGAGCCCAGAGGGCCGCGGACACCCTGCCCTGTTCGGCCCATGGACATGCTCACCCGCAGGGCTGGGGATGGAGGCAGCGCCTTGATGGGATGGGTCCCTACGGCATTCCCGCTGCGTGCCCGGGGCTTGTGTGGCTGATCCGTTCCTTTAGAGCTATGGAGACCTACTACTGAGGGGGGATCCTGCCCTGGGGGAGCGGGAGCCCCTCTTTGCCCCGTGTAGGGCGCTCTGCAGGGAGCGCCCCAGCACACAGGGAGCCTGCGGGGAAGTGCCCGGACCCAGCGGGATGCAGCCCCCCCACGCCATGACAGCCCCTTATCAGCACCTGTGCCTGAGCCAGCCCAGATGCTGCAGGAATGCGGCTCTGCCACCACCCGATACTGCAGGAATGCCCCGCGGGTGGGGACGGGACGGGGCTGGGGCCCTTCCTGCCTCAGCCCCAGCCCGATCCACGAGCCCCAGCACCCCCAGGCCCCGCATGGAGCTCCCATGCCCCATGCAGCCAGGGACCCTGTGCTTCTGGGGCTGGGCGTCCCACCTGCACGGGCACAGCCTGGCGCCCCGCAGCCCTGGGCTATGGGGCATGGCCTTTTGCCACCTTTCCCCTGGCTGTTGGGCAGAAAAATGGGTAGCTCGGCTGAGGCATATCGAGGGAAGCACCAAGTCAGGCAAACTGCATGGTCATGGGGTGCTTGCATGGTGGCTCAGGCCGCAGCAAGGAGGGCTTTGGGCAGCCCGTGTCCCCCGATGGGTCAGCTGGAGGTGCCCTCGGAGGTGCCCTGCACCAGTGCCATGGCTGAGGCCGCGCTCCAGCCTCCGTGTGCCCGTGCATCGCTGCAGGTTGATGGTCCCGGTCGCTGCCGTGCTTAGCCACCCGCTGTGACACCGCAGAGGCCGGGATGGAGGGGCTTGGGGGAGCGCCCCGGTTCCTGGCCTACCCGCGCACGTTCACGGTGCAAACCGGTGCTGACGCAGTCCTGAAGTGCCAGATCGCGGGTGAGCCCCGGCCCAGCATCCTCTGGGAGAAGGACCGGACGCCCATCGAGCCCTCGGGCCGCTTCCATGTGGAGGCCAGGGGCAACGTGTACAGCCTGCTGGTGTCCCGAGTGACCCCAGAGGACAGCGGGCTCTATGTCTGCAAGGCCAAGAACAATGTTGGCGAGACCTACGCCGCTGCCACGCTCAGAGTGGAAGCCGGGGAGCCCTCGGAGGAGGGGGACCCTGAGAACAAGCCGCCCGTCTTCCTGGTCAGGCCTTCGTCCATGCGGGTGTGCCGAGGGGAGGACGTGACATTCACATGCAGGGTGGCAGGGCGGCCCTGCCTGGCGCTGCACTGGGAGAAGGACGGGCACAAGCTCTCCGACCTCTTTGAGAGCAGCCACTTCTCGGTGGGCAGGGAGCCTGAGGACTGGCACTTCCTGAAGCTCTTCAGCGCGCGGCCCCCGGACAGCGGGGTCTACGTGTGCCGGGCGCGGAGCGGCTCCCAGGAGGCCCTGGCTGCGGCCGTGCTGCTGGTGGAGCCGCTGGAGCCGGGGCGGCTGGAGGAGCAACCCCAGGGGTGCCCCAGGAACGGCCCGGGGCAGGCGCCCCGGCGGGCGGCGCGGAGCGGCGTGCCCGAGGCCTGGGCGCTGCCCCACGGCGAGGTGCCCACCGGCGTGCCGGGCGCCAAGGCCTTCGCCGTCAGCGCGGGGAAACACGCCAAGTTTCGCTGCTACGTGACTGGTAAGCCCAAGCCTGAGATCGTCTGGAAGAAGGACGGGAAGCCCGTCGGCCCCGGGCGCCGGCACCTCATCTACGAGGACAGGGAGGGCTACTTCATCCTCAAGGTGCTGTACTGCAAGCCCCAGGACCAGGGGCTGTACATCTGCACTGCCTCCAACACGGCCGGCCAGACCCTCAGCGCTGTGCAGCTCCACGTGAAGGGTAGGTACCGTGCCCTGCAAGCGCAGGGGCAGCAGGGGCCGGGGAACACAGAGGCACCTGTGGGGTAGGGGCCTCTTGTGCAGGCCACAGTGGGGCCAGGAGCAGCTGTGGGGTGCCCCAGGTCTGGCAGCTCCTGCAGTTGTCCCCCTTGCTCCTCTCTTGCTGCAAGCAGAATGGTGACGTTTGTGGAGGCTGCATGTGCCGGGCTGCGAGCAGGGAGAGGGCGCGATGTGCTGGTGACAAATTCCCCGTCAAGCACAGAGCGGCTTTGGCGGGGAGCCTTGCAGGGCACGGCGCCAAGTGTCTGCGCTGGCGGCAGCCCTGTCCTGCTGGCAAAGCCTGCACGGGGCTGCCTCCCCAGCTGGGGACACCGAGGGTGGCACGGCGCCCGGCACTGACCTGCACCCAGCTGGGGCCGTGCGCCCCCCCAACAGGCTGCACTGAGATGCCTGCATACATCCCTGCATGCATCCCTGCATGCATGCCTGCATGCCCGCATCCCCAAAGATGCGCTGTCTCCACATGTTGGCTGCACCTGGCTTTGCTGACCCACGCTGTGTTTAAATTGCTTCCCAGGACAGTGCCCGTCACACGCAGCAGGGGCTTTTGCAGTGCAATGAAATGTAATGAAGGGGCTGGCTGAGGACATGGGGCTGCCTGAGGCTTGCAGTGAGAGGGGGCAGAGAGCAGGAGTCTGCCCATGCCTCCTGCCCAGGACTTGCTCTGGTGCTAACACCAGGGTTTGCTGTTATTGCAAGCAGGCAGAGCCTTGCAGGCAGGGAGAGGTGGCAAGGGGAGGAGGCCAAGCCAAGGCATGTGGGTGCCTTCCTCAGCACCCGTCTCTCTCCCGGTTCCAGAGCACCGCGTGCGCTTCCAGGTGCCGCTGGCGGATGTGGAGGTGCAGGAGCGGGAGGACGCCGTGCTGGAGTGCCACGTCCCGCTGGAGAGCATCCCCACCGCCTGGTACCTGGAGGACAAGGAGCTGCAGCCCAGCCACAAGTACGTCATGGAGGAGCAAGGCGCGCTGCGGCGCCTGACCATCCGCGACGCCCGCACCGACGACGATGGCATCTACCTCTGCCAGATGAAGGACAAGGGCCGCAGCATCGCTGAGGTCTCCGTGCGAGGTGGGGCAAGCCCAGCTCCCCTAGCTCTACCTTTCCTCCTCCTGATCAGGCAGCTCCCTGCTGCTCCCAGCACCTGCCTCCCCATCTCATCCGCGTGCCTCCACGTGCCTGCTGCTTCCCCACCCGAGACCCCTTCCAGCCCTTGCTCCCCAAACACCCTCACCCGACCCCTTTCTCAGGGATGATCGTAAAGAGGTTGCCGCGGAAGCTGGACATCATGGAGGGGGAGAACGCGGCTTTCTGCGTGGAGACGCGGGAGGCGGTGGAGGGGATCTGCTGGAACCGCAACGGGCAGGAGCTGCAGGAGTCGTCCCGCACGGTGCTGAAGAGCTTCGGCAGGACGCACCTCCTGGTACTGGTGCACGTCACCCGCGAGGAGGCGGGCGTCATCTCCTTTGCCGTGGGCGAGTCTCAGACATCCTCCCAGCTCCGCGTCAAGTGTAAGCCCCTGAGCGGTCCTGTGTCCTCCCTCCTCCACGTTCACCAGGGGCTGACATGGGGGAGAGCTGGGACGGGCACCCACTGCACTGGGGACGTGATGGTGGTGATTGCTCTTTGGGGCATGAGGCCATTAGCAGGGCCCTTGCTCTTGTGCCTTGCTGCTCTGGTGCAAGGCTCTTGCCGAGCTGATGCTCTCAAGCGTGAGCAGCCTCTGTCATCAGAGAGAGGATCCCCATGGCAGAGATTGCACAGCCCCCTACTCCTCCCTTTTCCTGTCTCGCTCCCTGGCTCGGAGCCTGACTTGCAGCCTCCAAGCAGGAAATGCCGACTGTGGGTTGCAGGTGTGAAGCGCGACCCTCCGAGCAGCCCGGTGGCGGCCAGGATGAGCACGGAGCACAGCAACGCGGCGCTGCTGACGTGGTGCCCCGCGCCCGACGTGCACCACCGCCCCGCCAGCAGCTACGTGCTGGAGCGGCAGGAGCTCAGCAGCAGCGAGTGGGTGCACTGCCTCACCACCGACCTGGCCAGCCTGGTGGAGGTGCTGGGCGACAGCGTGCCCTGCGAGGCCGACTACCGCTTCCGCGTCTGCGCCGTCAACAAGTACGGCAGGAGTGGGCCTGTGGAATTCCCTGGCTCCGTGCATCTCGGTGAGGGCTCCAACCCCCTATGGGTCATGCGTTTTCCTTTGGCCCTCTTTGGGCCTCCCAGGCTGGGCTGGGACCTGGTTTTCCTTAGGGACCGGTTGAGACAGGCTGGACCAGCCCTCAATTTGCCTTCAGGACCAGCCTGTGGGCTCCAGGTTCCCCAGCTGCCAGGTTCCCCAGTCAGCACAGAGCATGTGCTTCAACTGCACATCCCAGAACACTCCCAAGCAACTCTTCTTCCCAGGAGAGAATGGGATGGCACCGTGCCTTGGTCCCAGGACCTGCAGTGCATTTTTCTCCTTGCACTATCCTAGCTGATGGGTCCTAGATGCTTGTGGAGGCTGGGCAGGGGCAGCAGGCACCCAAGGGAAGTGCACTTGTAGGGTCTGCTGGCCCCTGGCACATGCCATGGCTATGGGGCTGAGTCCTGCCCTGCTCCAGTCCCAGCAGCTCGCCTGGAGAGAGGCCTGCAGGACGCGCGGGTGCGGGATGGCGAGGATGCCCACTTCTCCCTGGAGCTCTCTGCCTCAGTGCGGGGCGCCTGGTTCCTGAATGGCACGAGGCTGGGCGACGACGAGGGGGCGAGCGGCCGGTACTGCGTGCAGCACTGCAAAACGGAGCACTCCCTGCTGATCCGCGGAGCGCGGCGGGAGGAGAGCGGAGCCCAGGTCACCTTTGTGTCCGGCAGCATTCGGGACTCAGCCACGCTACAGGTGCAAGGTGAGTGTGGCTGGGGGCAGGCAAGGAGAACAGCGGCGGTGCAGGATGCTGCAGGGCTTGGGGTCACCTCTTCCAATGTGAGGGATACCTGGGCTTTTTGCTACATCCGGCATCCCTTCCTTAGAGACAAATCAGGAGTACGAGGTGGAGGAGCAGCTTCTCACGTGCTGTTGCCTCCTAGCCCAAGGTTGGGGAGCACTGGCTTTCTGCAAGAGCAGCTTTGCTCCTTGAAGCTGGACCTGCAGAGCACAAAGCACTTCTAAGCCCCGGGGCTGCAGGCCCTGGAAGATCTGTGCAGACCTTGGGCACGTAATCATTTACAATCCAGGGACTGCAGCAAGGCTGTTCCTTATCTGCCTGGCCTGGCTAGGATGCCTCTGCCCTCAGGCCAAGGCGCATCTCCATTGGGTTGGGCTGTCCTGGTACCACAGCCATGGCCCAGGAGCTCGTGTCTTTTAGCGCTGAGTATAGGCCAGGGATGCAACATGCACCCCTGTTCCGTGGTAGAGATGGACTAATGCTTAACTCCAGGTAATGCTGAGCAGAGCAGCTGCCAGGTGGTGAGCAGGGCAGGGCAGCACCTAGGGGCATCCAGCAGCACCGTGGTGATGGGCTATGGTGGGAGCATTGCTCACTGTCCCCATACCCTGCTGACACCTGTCCAGCCAGGATCTGAGGAGCTCTCCCAGCTTCCCAGGTGCCTTTCTCACCGCTCTGTGCTGCCTCTCAGCCCCGCAGGCGCACATCGCCCCGGTGCCCGAGGCCCAGCGCCTCCGGAAGCAGCCGGCGGGTCTGCCCGTGCTCCTGGAGTGCGAGGTGTCCCCGCCGGGCGCCCCCGTCCGCTGGCTCAAGGACGGGGAGGCCGTGCCCCTGGACGACGTTATTGCGGTGCAGGAGGAGGGCTGCGTGCGCAGGCTGCTCGTCCGCTCTGCCGGGCCCTCCGACAGTGGCATATACACGTGTGACGCTGGGGACGAAGCCGTGAGCTTCGTGGTGACGGTGACAGGTGAGCTGGGGACTGCACGCGGGAGCTTCGGCCCTGTGTTCTGTACTACGTGAGCAGGAGTTGGGGGCTGGTAAAGCCCCCCCAGCCTCCTCTTCTCCTGTCCCCGCAGAGGCGCCGGTGCGGGTGGTCAGCTCCAACGAGGACGCCGCGCACGCCTACATGGCCGGGCAGCGCGTGCTGCTCTGGTGCGAGCTGTCGCGCGCGGACGCCCCGGTGCGCTGGTACAGGGACGGGCTGGAGCTGGAGGCGAGCGAGAGCCTTGTGCTGGAGCGCGAGGGGCCGCGGTGCCGCCTGCTGCTGCCCTGCGCCCGGCCCCAGGACACGGCCGAGTTTGTCTGCGATGCCGGTGGTGATTCCGCCTTCTACAACATCACGGTGGCAGGTTGGTGCCCACCCGCAGGGGCTTCCCTCTGCTGCTCGGCCCTGGCCTGGCCCTGTGCCATGTAGGGCAGCGAGACAGTGGCAGGTCGGTGGGTGGCAGGTCACGAAGGGCTTGAGGGGAATCTTCTCATGGGCATTGGGCTGCGAGGGCAGGGTGAGTCCCTGCCTGCTCAGAGGGAGGGTTATGGGGTGCTCAGCAGGCGGAGTGGGAAGTGCCGACCACGGGAGCGTCTCTGCCTGCCTGTCTGCTCTCAATGCTGCAGCGTCCAGCTGCTCTCTCCTTCCTGCCCCCCTGCAGCCCCTGGGACCATCTCCCATCTGCTGCATTTCTGCCCTTCCCTGGCCTCCTTCCTGCTGTCTCCGCGCTCTCCTGTTCACTCCTTGTCTTTCTGCATTATCGTGACTTGCCTCTTCTGCCCCTTGGTGCTCTGGGTGCTCCTCCAGACCACATGTTACTTAAACTCATCACCTGGTACCTTCCACCCTGCCTCTGCCATGACCCAGTTTGGGCCACACTGCCTTCTGCCCTTCTGCCTCCCACCTCTCCCTGGAGATGAGCTACAGGCAGCAGGATCCCTGTTTAGGCGCTGTGTTGAGGCTTCAGGGCTTGGCACCTAGGTCTGCAGGGTGGGAGGGATGGGGACACGATGGCTGGGGGTGTGTGAGGAGGGTCCCAGCACAGCGTGGGGCAGTGGTTGCCCTCTTGATATCCTTGTGGGTGGGACAGGCCCGCTGTGCCTGGTGTGGCCTGTGCCGAAGGAGAAAGGGCCAGAGGCCCAGGTTTCACATGGGAGCAGTCCTCACCGGCGCACAGCAGGGCTCAGCCGGGCGAGCATCCGCACAGCAGTGGGGCTTTGCTTTGCCACGCTTAGCAGGGCAGCAGGCAGCTCCCTCCTAGTGCCCAGGCCTCGCTGGTGGGTGCTGAGCACCTCCATGCTGGGTGACGCTTGCTGGACCCCTCGGCTGCCCAGCAAACAGGACCCGTGCACTCCTAAAAACAGCGGGCATTGGCATCCGCCACGGAGTGCCCGGCACCTGGTGTGGGGTGACTCACTATTGGGCATCGCTCTGATGGACAGCGTTAATTGCTGACCTAAAAATTAGCGGTTGCCTGGATACCAATGATTTGGTTGTGTTTACTGCGGGCGGACAACAGCAGGCAGCGACTTTGGCCCATCGCGAAGCTGCTGTTAGCGTCGCTGCATAGCAGCACAGGCGGAAAACGATAGCGAAAAATGAAAATGACCAAAAGACTTCCTGTGGCTGGCCCCAAAACCCACAAGCGCAGGGAGCTACACGTGGCAGGAATCCAGCCTGGTCAAAAGGTGAAGTGACTGCGGTGACAGAAGCTCTCCGCCGTGCTCACGTGCGGCTAGCGCAGAATGCAGGGGAGGTAATCGCAGAGGATGTAAGGGCGGAAATGCCATGAGTAACACAAGATGCTAGAAGAATCAGTAAAATAGTAATTGCCCAGAGATTTAAGAAAGAAGGGCCTTGAATGTGATAGAGTGAGAATCACCATCGGGAGGGATGGGTTGTAGCCTCCTCCCTGCACAGGGGTGATCAGCAGTGGCCCTCAGGCTTTGGAGATGGCCGGGAGGCAGTGTCCGTCCCGTGGCAGCGCACAGGCGTGGAAAGTTCTGCATCTGTAACATAAGAGGGGGGAAGCACCATCTGCTGAAGTTCAGTATTTCAGCTTAGCAGCTTTGCATAACTTAGGCTGAAGAGACTTAAAGAGCCTGACTCAGTTGGTTCAGGGCTCGGTCACCGGGGAAGGGCTAATAGCGTAATCGGCAGCAGGCAGCGTGCTGTGAGCTGACGGTGACAGAAGGCTTAAATGAGGACTTCTCTGACACAATTTCAGGTTTGGCAGATAAAAGCAGTGCTGTTGATATGGCATGCCTGGATTTCTCCAGGCATCTGAGTTATCCCCGTCACAGGCTGGTGCAATGCACAAGTCCAGCTGCCTAAAGTCCGGCCATCCCCGAATGCCTCTGGGTTTTCCGGCAGCTGCTGCGTGTTTTGACTCTGTTGGAGCCATTGATGGGGCTGGAGCAGAGCAGCGGGGCTGACCAGGGCCTCACGCGCTGCGTCTTTCGCTCAAGGCTTTCCCTGGGCTCTCTCAGCACCTCGAAGGAGGCAGATCGGCCCCAAAATTTCATTGTTCCTCTGTCCATTACATCAGAGACTTCTACGGGTGGGGATATTTTTCCATTTATGTCCCTATGCAGGAGCTCCCAGACTGTCTCACTCAGGCAGGCCAAACCACGGGCTTTCCTCTGCACTTCCCAGGGGTTAAAAGCACCCGGTTGTCTCATGGGGCAAGGGAACAGAGATGCTGAAAGCCTCTCCTGGTCCTGCAATGTTGGACTCAGGACATCAAGCAGGAGGTTGAGGGCTCCAGAGTCAATATTCCCAGCTCTATTTCAGTGTTTTGATTGCTCTTACCAGGCCCACTTAAGGAACTTTGCAGTATTTGCTCAATAAATTGGACAGATACAGACTCAGCACGATTCATATTAAACACTACAGACTGGCTGGTTGCCTGCTCTTAAATGCTGTTGTTCTGCAATGTTTGCACTGAGCACTGGAAAAAAACTAAAACTCACAGAGGAAGTTTGCAAGCTTCCTGCCCAGCGTGGGGCAGAGCCCTGGACTCTGCTCGGTGATTTATGGTGAGGCTCAAAGCAAGATGTGTCCCCACGCTGGCACCCGGGTGGGCAGAGAGGCGAGGGAGCTCCCTGGCATAGCTGGGCCGGGGCAGCCCAACAGCCGGAGTTTTGCAAGTCGTAGGTTAGGTGGTGCTTTTTAGGCTTAAAAATGAAGGAATCTGTGAAGCCGCTGTGCCACACCGGGGTCTGCCACGCAGACAGCAGTTGCGGGTTTGGCACGGCAGCCCATGCTGCGCCTCTCTCCCCGCAGAGGCGCCGGTGCGGGTGGTCGGCTCCAACGAGGACGCCGCGCACGCCTACACGGCCGGGCAGCGCGTGCTGCTCTGGTGCGAGCTGTCGCGTGCGGACGCCCCGGTGCGCTGGTACAGGGACGGGCTGGAGCTGGAGGCGAGCGAGAGCCTCGTGCTGGAGCGCGAGGGGCCGCGGTGCCGCCTGCTGCTGCCCTGCGCCCGGCCCCAGGACACGGCCGAGTTTGTCTGCGATGCCGGTGGTGATTCCGCCTTCTACAACATCACGGTGGCAGGTTGGTGCCCACCCGCAGGGGCTTCCCTCTGCTGCTTGGCCCTGGCCTGGCCCTGTGCCACGCAGGGCAGCGAGACAGTGGCAGCCAAGTGATGAGGCTCTCGGTGCTCTCAGCCCCACCAGTGCACATGGCCCCGGTGCCCGAGGGCCAGCGCTGCCGTGCGCTGCTGGAGGGGCAGCCCCTGCTCCTGGAGTGCGACGTGTCCCCGCCGGACGCCCCCGTCCGCTGGCTCAAGGATGGGGAGCCCGTGGTCCCAGACGAGGCCCTCGCTCTCCAGTCAGAGGGGTGCACACGGAGGCTGATGATCCGCTCGGTGGGGCTGTCGGACGCGGGGACGTTCACCTGCGATGCCGGGGAAGCCGCTGCGAGCTTTGCCGTGGCTGTGAGCGGTGAGCTGGGCCTGGGGCTGGGTGTGTGTCCTTGCACCAGGCTGTGCTGAGAGGTGGCTTTGGGGTCACCATCCCTTTGGCGTCACACAGAGCCCCGTGTGTCCCCGCAGAGGCGCCGGTGCGGGTGGTCGACTCCAACGAGGAGGCCGCGCACGCCTACACGGCCGGGCAGCGCGTGCTGCTCTGGTGCGAGCTGTCACATGCAGACACCCCCGTGCACTGGTACAAGGACGGGCTGGAGCTGGAGGCGAGCGAGAGCCTYGTGCTGGAGCGCGAGGGGCCGCGGTGCCGCCTGCTGCTGCCCTGCGCCCGGCCCCAGGACACGGCCGAGTTCCTCTGCAAAGCGGGAGACGCTTCTGCCTCCTACAACATCACGGTGGCAGGTTGGTGCGGTGGCTTTTCCCGCCGGCCAGCTCTGCTCGGGGCATTCTCCAGTGCTGCCTCGCTGCCTCCCTGCCCTTAGCGGCACTGGGGGGAATGGGTGGTTGGCCCAGCAGGTCTCATCTCATCTCACCCCGGCAGAGCCACGCGTGAGGATCCTGCAGCCGCCGCAGCGCTCGCTGGTGCTGCCAGTGCTAACGCTGGCACGTGTGGAGCTGCGGTGCGAACTCTCTGTGCCGGACGCTCCCGTGCGCTGGTTCAAGGACGGGCTGGAGGTGGATGAGGGCGACAACCTGCTGTTGCTGGCGGAGGGGGCCCAGCGCTGCCTCGTCATCCCGAAGGCCGGCGTGGAGGACGCGGGCGAGTACATTTGTGAGAGCAGGGATGAGGCTGTCTCCTTTGACGTCCAGGTGTCAGGTAAGTGGCTATTGGCCCCACCTGGGGTCCCGGGTGCGGGGCTTTCCCTGCAGGGGCTGGGGAACTCGCTCTGGCTGCTCCCTGACTGACTGTGGGGCTGCTGCTCAGTCGTCACCACATCCCTTCTGCAGCAGGAAAAGGCAGAGCTAAACCCTGTGCCACTTGCCTCCACATCCAGACAGCCTGCAGGCTGCAAGGAAAGGCCCTGTGCTCGGGCAGGATGTGCTGGCTCCCTGCCTGAGTGCTGTGCTTGCCATGTGCAGGGCTCTCCACAGCCTCTCTGCCTGCATGTGGTCACACATGCTACAGGCAGCCCAAGAGCAGCTCATGCCCTGCTCCCTGAGTGCTCTTTCCGTGCCCACCTGCTGGTGTGTGGGTTCGGTGCCACTCAGGGTGGTACTCACTTTGGGTTAAGGTGTCCCCTGTGCTGTATTTCCCCCATGCTGCTCTGCACGGGGGCCACATTCCCCTTGCAGAGCTGCCCGTGAAGATCCTGCAGCCGCGGAGACCTCCCCCGGTGGTGAAAGCCTCGCCGGGCGAGACGGTGACGCTGGCCTGCGAGCTGTCCCGTGCCGATGCGCCCGTGCGCTGGGCCAAGGAGGGCGTCACGCTGGAGGCGGGCGGCAGCCTGGTGCTGGAGGAGGAGGGTGCCCAGCGGCGCCTGCTCATCCCCGCCGCACGAGCGGAGCACTCTGGAAAATACGTGTGCGACGCCGCCGATGACGCGGTGACCTTCACTGTCCAAGTGTCAGGTGAGCCGGGGCTGGGGGACAGCCTGGGGGACAGGTGCCGGGGGTGCAGACCCAAGAGCCTGGCGAAGGGGGTGCCCTGTAGCTCCCTTGCCATGAGTAGTGCCGTGTGGACCGGTCTCCATGGGATGGCTCCTGCCCAGAGCCAAACCTTGCACAAGGCACAACCCAGCGTGCAGTTAACAGCAGCTCTGGTGCTGCCAGACCCGCCAGTCAGGATACTGGAGAGGGACGCTCTGCCCACCCGCCGGCACTGCCGAGCCCTGGAGGACCTGGTGCTGGAGGTGCAGCTCTCACAGGCCCACGGGGAGCTCAAGTGGTACAAGGATGGGGAGAAGCTGCAGGACACGGGGCGCGTGCGGCTGGAGGAGAACGGCGCGCGCCGCTCGCTCGTCGTCCTGGGCGCCACGCGCAGGGATGCCGGCGAGTATCTCTGCGACACTGGTGATGACAGTGTCATCTTCTGTGTCACCGTGGAAGGTGAGCGGTGCTCTCCTCTCTGCCTGCATGCAGCCGGAGAGGTCCCAGGATCCCTGGCTTGTGCAAGGGTTGCCCAAGGCTGCGCTGTGTTTCAGTAGATGCAGAGTGGTGCATGCAGGGCTGGGACAGGGAGCAGCGCGGCACGCTCTGAAAACCCATGCACTGCCCAGCATGGGAAAGATCCAGAAAGGATCCAGCCATTGCAGCAGGACCACCCATGGGTGCACAGGGCACCTGGTGGGGGAAAGGGAATGAGATGAGCAGCAATAGGAACAGACATGTGGCGTTTTCCCTCTCACCAGCCTTGCAACGCTGTCCTGCAGCCAGACCTGGCTCTGGCAGCTCAAGGGTGAAGCCAAGAGTTGTCTTGCTCTGCAGGGCAGGGTTTGTCCTTCCTTTACCCCCAAAATGGAGGCTGGCGTTTGGGGCTTCTCTCCCTACACCTCTGGGCTGGGCAGTACCTCCTTGCTACTGCAGTGACAGCCCTTCTCTCCGGCCCCCAGAGCCGCCGGTGACCATCGTGGGGAACACGGGTGCCACGGAGCACCGCTGCCTGGTGGCCGGGGAGGACCTGGTGCTGGCCTGCAAGCTGTCGCGGCCCGATGCCGCCGTGCGCTGGCTGCGGGACGGCCAGGAGGTGCAGCCCAGCGAGCGGCTCCGCGTGCAGGCACGGGGGGCTCTCCGGGAGCTCACCATCCTCGGGGCGCAGCCGGGCGACTCAGGCTGCTACGTCTGCGACGCTGCCAGTGACCGCATGGTGACGAGCGTGGAGGTGTCAGGTGAGAGGGCTGGAGACCCATTGTAGGGAGCAGGCTGTCCTCCCCTCGCTCCGGCTTCCTGTGGGCACCCGTAGCGGGGACGCCAAACCCCAGATGCCCCGGCAGCTCCCGAGCCCGCAGCGGAGCAGCTGCTGCGCCCAGTGCGGCGCAGGGAGGGGACGCGGCCGCCGCGCAGCCCCGTCTCGCAGGAGCCGCGGGCTGAGGCGAGACACATACCTCCTGCCTCCCCCGGCAGGCCCCGCTAAATTTATCCTTGGCCGACTCCCAGGCGCCTCTCCTCCCGCGGCGGCCGCCAAGGGCTGAGCTCGGCCTAGCCCTTTATCAGACGGGGAGAAAGGGCTGTGCGGGGCGGGTGTCCCAGCGAGCCCCAAAGCCGGGCTCCTGCAGCTGGGCTCCGGAGCGATACGGGAGGACGGGCTCGGCAGCATCCATACCGGGGCCCCTCCGCACGGGCACCCCGACCAGTCTGCACTGCCGCCCCACGGTACCCCAGAGCCAGCCCCACAGCTGGTCCCACCGACCCCCTGCACCCCACAGCCCTGGCTCCTGCCCCGCAGCCAGTGCCGTGGTGCTTGCGCATGGCTGCTGAGTCCTGCCTGTGCCCGCTCTGTGCTACAGCCCAGCCCGTGCGCATCGTGAACAAGGAGGAGGCCCGGAGCCCCGTGGAGGTGCAGGAGGGGGACAGCGTGACGCTGGTGGCCCGGCTGTGCCCGGAGGGGGCGGCCGCGCAGTGGCGCAAGGACGGGCGGCCGCTGCGCTCGGGCGGGCGGCTGCTGGTGTGCAGCGAGGGCGCCGCGCGCAGCCTCACCATCAGGCAGGCGGAGCTGGGCGACGGCGGGCGCTTCCTCTGCGACGCGGGCGACGACGAGGTGCACTTCACGCTGCGCGTGACAGGTGAGCCCCGCGCGGCCGCCCCCAGCCCCTCGCCCGCCCGCGCCGCCGCTCAGCCCCTCTGCCCTGCCCCAGAGGCGCCCGTGCTCTTCGTGAACAAGCAGGAGCAGCCGGAGAAGCTGCTGGTGCTGGAGGGCAGCAGCGCGGTGCTCTCTGCCGTGGTGTCCAAGGAGGCGGCGCCCGTCAGCTGGCTGGGCCCGCGGCAGCCCGTGGAGGCCGGCGAGCGCTGCGAGCTGCGGCGCGAGGGCCGCGTGCACAGCCTGGTGCTGAGCAACGTGGGCAAGGAGGACGCCGGCCTCTACACCTGCCGCTCCCGCCACGACCACATGCAGTTCGATGTGCGCGTCAAGGGTGAGCGTGGGGCCGGGGGCCGTGCCTGGGGAGGGCCGTGGTGTTCGGGGCTGCGCACCCACCCGTGGGCCTGCGTGCTGCTGCAGAGCTGCTGGTGAAGTTCCTGCGGGGCCTGGCGGACGTGCACGCGCACGAGGGCGAGACGGTGGTGCTGTGGTGCGAGCTGTGCAAGGCCAAGGGCGACGTGGTGTGGCTGAAGGACGGGCGCCGGCTGAGCCCCGCGGCGCGGCGGCAGATCAAGGCGGAGGGCCGAGAGCGCTCGCTGGTGCTGAGCAACGTGGGGCCCCAGGACGCCGGCGAATACTGCTGCGAGTCTAACGACGACCGGACGCTGGCGACGCTGACGGTGCAGGGTGAGCCCCTCGTGCTGGGGATCTGCGGCGCCAGAACTAGCCCTGTCCTGTGGGGCAGAGAGGGGACGGGGAAGGCGAGTGCCCCGTGCCCTCGATGGCTGGACTCACAGTGGTGCAGCACGGGGCATGGCCATGCACCCTCACGCCCCACTTTTAGTCCCTAGGGTGGTGGAGATCATTGCGGAGCTGCACAACCTCACGGTGCTGGAGGGGGAGGACGCCACCTTCAAGTGCGTGGTGTCCCCCGAAGACGTGGCCTTGACGTGGCAGCTCAACGGCCAGGCTGTGGCCCCCTGCGAGCGGCTGCTGGTGGCGAGGACAGGGCTGTGTCACAGCCTCACCATCCGGCAGTGCCAGCTGGCTGACGCGGCCACCGTGACGGCCAACGCGGAGGGGCTGGTGAGCACGGCCCGGCTCAGCGTGCAAGGTGGGTGGCGAAGCTGGTGGGGCCTGGTGCGCAGCGGCTGCGGCCGGCGCGGGGCCAGACGGTGACGCCGCACGTGGGCCTCGCAGAGGCGCAGGTGATGTTCGTGCGGCGGCTGCAGGACGTGGCCGCGGAGGAGCAGCAGGACGCGTGCCTGGAGGTGGAGGTGAGCCACGAGGCCGCCGAGGTGCAGTGGTTGAAGCAGGGCGTCCTCCTGCAGCCCGGCGGCAAGTACGAGCTGCGCGAGTCGGGGCGCCGGCGCACGCTCACCATCCGCAGCCTCAGCCCCGCCGACCGCGGTACCTACCGCTGCGAGACACTGCACGACCGCACGCAGGCCAAGCTGTGCGTGGAGCGTGAGTATCCGCACGGCACCGGTACGGCCAGCGCGGCAAGCAGGACCCTGGCAAAGGGAGGTGCCACAAACCTGGGCACCTGGCAGCCTCCGCGGCCGGGGAGCAGGACCCCAGCAGTGGACATGAGTCCCTGTCCCTCACAGCGCGCAAGGTGTCGATCCAGACCCCACTAGCAGATGTGGAGACCTTTGAGAAGGAGACAGCCACCTTCCACCTGGAGCTGTCGCACGCCGACGTGCCGGGCGTCTGGACACGAGATGGCATCCGGGTGAAGCCGAGCGGCACGTGCCGGATCAGCGCGGCCGGCCGTGCGCACAGCCTCACGCTGCAGCGGCTCACGCTGGAGGACTCGGGCACTGTGGCCTTCAGCACCAACAGCCTGCGCTGCAGCGCCCGCCTGCTCGTGCGGGGTACGGTCACCAGCAGGAGGGATGTGGGGGGCTTGTGTGGCCCCATGGCCCCAAGCAGACACACCTGGCCCCGCTCGCTGCCCTTGCGGTGCCGAGGTGCATCGCTGCCAAACCGTTCTGCCCTGTGTCCTCTCCCCACAGAGCCACCAGTCACTATAGTGAAGGCTCCGCAGGACCTTGGGGTGCTGGAGACGGGCACTGCCACCTTCGAGTGCGAGCTGTCTCGCCCCGGCGCCGAGGTGAAGTGGTGCAAGGTGAGAGCTCAGCCCTGCACCATGCCCAGGGCTGCCGGGCCCGTGAGGTTCCCTGACCGCGTGCTCCCGGGCGCAGGACGGGGTGGAGCTGCGGCCCGGGCCCCGCTGCCGCATCTACTCGGCGGGCCGGCGGCGGCTGCTGCAGCTCAGCGCCTGCGAGCTGGCTGATGCCGGCGTCTACACCTGCAACGCGGGCGACTGCCAGGCCTCGGCCACCCTGCGTGTCCACGGTATGGCGGGGCCCACATCAGCCCTCCAGCTGCGGCGGGTAAACAGAGCCCACGGGCGCCCTGCAGCCTCTGGCTGGTGCTTGTGCCAGCGTCTCCCTGCCCCTTTGCTGCCCTGGGGACCCACACACCGTGACTCTCCTGCCGCTCCCAGGTGGCATCTCGAGTCATTCCCGTGCGTGGGAGCCACGGGCTGGGCCCCCGCCTGCCCCCCAGCCCCTGCCCCCGTGTCCCGCAGAGCGCCAGGTCTGCATCGTGCAGGAGCTGCAGGACGCCTGCGTGCAGGAGAACGACAACGCCGTCTTCACGTGCGAGGCGTCGCACGGGGACGTCAAGGGCGAGTGGTTCCGGGACGGCGAGAAAATCAAGGTCACCAGCACGGTGAAGATACGGCAAGAAGGTGAGTACTCGGCTGAGCCGTGCGCTCGGTGTGGGGAAGGGGTAAACTGAGGCGAAGCGAAGGCAGAGCCGGAGCTTGTGTGGCACAGGCTGCAGGGCCGACTGGGCAAAGGGGGCCCCCCTGCCCACCCCATCCCACCCCAGCCGCTGCCCCCCTTGCAGGGACCAAGCACTTCCTGCTCCTCTGCGGCGTGCGCCCCGAGGACGCAGGGCTCATCCGCTTCGAGGCCAAGGCGGCCGTCTCGGAGGCCAGGCTGCGGGTGGAAGGTAACGGCGGGGGGCACCTTGCGGCCATGGGTGCTGTGTGCCGGCCCCGTGCCGCTCACGGCCCCGCGCCCCAGCACTGCCCATCCGCATTGTGAAGCCGCTGCGGGACAAGACGGTGCTGGCGCGGCACAAGGCCACGCTGGAGTGCACCGTGTCGCACGCCCGCGGCCGCGTGCGCTGGTTCCGCGGGGACACTGAGATCTTCGCCGGGGACAAGTACGAGATCTGCAACCTGGACTGCTACCGCACACTCATCATCCACCACGTGGGCCCCGAGGACGAGGACACGTACACGTGCGACGCCCTGGACGACCGCTCCAGCGCGCGCCTCCTCGTGGAGGGTGAGGCGCGGGCCGCGCGGCGGCGCGGGGCCGGCGGGGCCAGGCCGTGACGGTGCCGCGGTGCCTTGCAGCCGAGGGCGTGCAGGTGCTGCGCGGGCTGCGCAGCGTGGAGGTGGTGGCGCCGGGCGAGGCCCGCTTCGAGTGCGAGGTGTCGGGCGCGCTGCCCCGCGCGCCCCAGTGGAGCCTCAACGGCGAGGAGCTGCGGGCCGGCGCGCACGTGAGCATGGAGAGCCAGGGCCGCGTGCACCGGCTGACGCTGCACGCCACGGCCGCCGGCATGAGCGGCGTGGTCAGGGTGTGCCTCGGGCCGGCGCGCTCCAAGGCGCAGCTCACCGTGCGAGGTGCGTGGGCGGCCCCGGGGGGCCGGAGCTGCTTGCAAGGGCCGGCTTTCCCCCGGGTGTGGGGTGCAGGGGCTGTCCCTGCCCCGGATGGCTCCAGCTTTGGGGCTCTCCCTGCTCCCTGACGCCGCTCTCCCTGCAGGGAGCTAGGAGCGTTGAGGCAGTGGCCAGAGGCCCGACAGAAGCTGGAACGGGAAGATGCGGCAGCATCCCACGGGACACAGGGATGCGGCCAGGGCGCCCTGCTCCCGTTGCAGCCACAGGGCTCTGCATTAAACACCCTTTCTTTTTTCCCAATGTGGCTTCTTGCACCTTGAGTGGCTGTTTGGAGTGCAGGGCTGGCACCCACTGCGCTGCCCAGCCTGGGGAAGCGGTGGGTGCCCCCTGGGTGCAGCCCACGGGAAGGGGTCTTGGGGAGGAAGGTCCCTGGGGTCCCGCTGCACCGGCGCCTGCCCCCGCGCGGTCCCACCCCACAGCGCGCAGGCAGCGCCGGCTCCGAAAGGCTCTTTACTGTGTGGCCGCGGCCTCCGCAGCGTTTGGCACATGTACAAAAGAGACGGCGAGGGGAGGCTGGCTGCGCTGCAGGGCCGGGGGCACGGGGCACACGCGGGCAGTGCCGGGCGGCGGGAGCCCCGCGGTGGCCGCGACGCCCCGGCCCGGCCGCCCCACTGAGCGCGGCTCCCCGCCTGGCCCCGGGCAAGGAAAGGGCCTGTCCCGGCGCGACGTCCTGGCTCGCTCCGTAATAAATTAATACAAATCACAGCAAGAGAAATATATACAAGGCGGGAGCCTCTGCCCGCAGCCGTGCTCTGGGCAGGGGCTCCTGCCCTGCCCCACAGACGTGCAGCCCCGGCCAGAGGCTCAGCCATGCCCCAGGTTCCCCCCGTCCACTATAAAATCCAGTCGCCAGCAAAACAGCGACGGCCTCGGACGCCACGGGAGTGCCCCACATCCCTGAGGCAGCCCAGCCTCTGCCCGCAGCCGGCCCCAGTGCCCTGCATCCCACTGCAAAAGAGGGGCTTGAAGGGGCCCCAGGCACGTGGCGCTGGCAGGGGCCAGGCCAGCCCTCGGGCAGGGGCTCCGTTTGCTGGGCGAGCAGGAGCCCGCCGGGCCTCCTCCCTGCGGCAGCAGCCCTGCCCCTGCACCGGGAAGGGCCCTGGGAAGGGCCAGTCCTTCCCTGCGTCTGCCCTGCAGCAGCCCTGGCTCAGCGCAGGGAAAGCGGGGAGCAAGGCGAGCGGCTCGGCGCGGCAGGGAGGTGCCCGGGCACACGAGATGGGAAGCAGGGGAGCTGCCTGGAGAGGGGCTGGGAGCTGCTGGCGGCCAGGGCTGGGATGGGGACACACATGCGGGGGGGATCAGTGCAGGGCCAAGGGCTTGGGGACCCACTTGTTGCACAAGGGACATGGGGCACAGGCACTTGGGGAGTTGTTGTGGGGTGCCATGGGGTGGGGGCAGGCATGGGGAGGGCTCTCAGGGAAGCGGGCACGGATGTAGGGACGGAGATGGGGCGGGATAGACATGCCCGGGCTGTGGGGAAGCAGGTGGGGCTCAGGGAGTCCCGGGGCGCCTGTGGACCCCCACCCAGCAGAGCTGCTCACGCCACGCTCCATGAGTCCGTGTGTCCCCAGTCCTTGGGCTGCCTCCTTGCCAGGGTGTTGCCCCAGCACCTCTGGCTCCACTGGAGTCCTGGGTTTGCCTGGCCGAGTCTCGTGATCCCCCAGCTAGGGCCTCCATCCACAGCCCCCGCAGCCCTTAGCTGCACGTGGCCGTCCGAGGCCGAGGAAACAGCCCCCCCGTGTCCGCGGGGCTCCGTCGGAGCGGGCTGGGGTGCTGGTGTCGCTCGAGGTCACTGGCTTGGGTTATACCCGCACGGCGGGGCCAGAGCCCGTGGTGAGGGGCACAGTGGAGCTGCAGTCATAGTCCAGGTCCACCACGGCGTGGGAGCTGGCGATGAGGCTGTTCAGGGACGGCCCCGTCTGCCGCTCGCGGAAACTCTGGATGTAGCTCTGATGGAGAGAGGAGAGGGAGGTGAGAGGGGCCTGCTCCCAGTGTCCTCCATCCCATCCTATCCCATCCCACCGTGCACAGCACGGCCCAGCACAGGGGCCAGTGCGCCCGCCAGCACCCAGCCACCCGAGCCACGTGGCGTTTGCAAAGGTGGCCTTTGCAAAGGGGCAAACTGCACGGGGCCCACTGCAGCTGTGCCCGTGCCGGAGCCACGCTGGCACAGCTCTGCCCACCCTGCCACACCGCGCCGCGGCGCCCGCGCAGAGGAGGGGGGGCCGGCGGAGGCGCGGCGAGATCTCTACCCTGGGCGCGGGACTCACGGGGGAGAGCACGTCCCCATCGAAGCGGCGCACGGGGTTGGGCTTGCGGCGGTAGGCGGGCTCGGGCGGGTGCGCCTTGTGCTGGTGCGGCGGCGGGTGGTGGGGTCTCCGCTTCTTCTTCTTCTCCTTGCGGTCCTCCCGCTGCTTGATGCGCATGAGCTGCACGCGCCGCTGCTGCCGGCTGATGATCACTGCGGAGCGGAGGGGCCGTGAGCCGGCTCCGCGGCCGGGGGCTGACGTGCTGCCCATGCCCGTGCCCCGCTCCTCCCATCACCCATGGGCCCAGGGTGCCCCAGCACTAACTCCCTTGCAGCACCTTTGCAAGCCGAGCATGCAAAGCCAAGCCTGAGAAAGCCTGACCGAGCGCCAAACCCCCCAGTTCCTGCCCCCAGGGACACCCCACACCCCGTCCATCTCCCCTGAGCCCCCGGCCCCGCGCACCTTCCGTGTGGGAGTAGCCTTCAGCTGTGACCTTCCACTGCACCAGGACGCCCAGCGTGGTGAGCAGCGGCCAGACGCCCAGGATGACCCAGCTGTACCAGCACACGGGGCGAGCGGGGGCCACCTTGATGCGCTCGTAGATGTACTGCACCAGCAGGAAGAGCTCGATGAAGTAGTCGACGGTGACGGTCATGATGGCGCTGCCGAAGACGGCGGTGGAGAGCGTGGTGAAGAAGCGCTGCCACTGCAGGGTGAGCACGGCGAAGAGCATCCCCACGCCCAGCAGCAGCGCGATGGGGATCCACACCGTGGGCGGGTGGTAGAACTGCTCCATCACCACCAGCGTGGCCACGGCCAGCAAGAGCCCCAGCAGCAGCCCCACCATGAAGAGGCCGACGCTGCGCACCAGCATGGTGACCAGCCCGCACAGCACCCCGATGCCCAGCCCGATGCCCACCGAGGCCTCCACGCTCAGCTGCGTGTCTAGCACCCGCTCCTTGTAGCACAGCATGAAGATGATGATGGAGCCGAACATCAGCCCCGTCAGGAACATGACGGCCTTGAAGCAGCGGTAGCCTGCGGAGAGACGGTGACAGGCTGTGCCCAGGAAGGACGTGGTGCCCAAGGAGGGCATGGCCAGCCTTGTGCCACAGGATCTCTGATTGAGAGGGTGAATGCGACACTTCCCAGCCCCGGTGACACTCTCCTCACTGCCAAGCCGGCAAGAAACGGTTCCCTTTGGGCGGGTTTGGAGACGGGACCCATCTCCCCCTGCCCTCCCTCCCACACCCGCTTGCCCACCAGCCTCTCCCAGCGCTGCCGGCGCCTGGCCTGGCTCACCGAAGAAGCAGTAGATGATCCCGAAGAGGCAGCACATGGCGCACACCACGGAGGGCACCACTTGGTAGCGCCGCTCGATCTCCTGCTGGCAGTCGTGTGCCCACTCCTGGCCCGTGTCGTGCGGCAGCAGCTGGAAACGCAGTGTCTGCACGGGTGCAGTCATGGCTCTGGGGGCTCCCGCCAAGGGCCTCACAACCTCCGCTCCGGCCCCATGGCTTGTGGGCAAAGCTGCGCTCCAGGACCTGCTCCAGCTGCGGAGGACGGGACAAGTGGGACAGAGGCACCGGGCAGCCCTGAGCTGCAGCCGCCCCGGCCCAGAGACACTCTAAAGCCAAGGGATGCAGCACCCGGTGCTGGGAAAACCCACCCTGGCTCTGGCACTACCCAGGCGGGCAGAAAGGCAACGGGGCAAGAGCCTCGTGTGACATCGGCCTCGCAGCCTGCGGAGCCGAAAGGGAATTCTGAAGGATCCCTGTCCCGGGCAGCCCCTTCCATCCGCAGGGATCTTTCCTGCTGGACGCTGGGCCTCACTGCGTGTCTGCAGCTTCCCTGTCCTGCCCCTGGCTCTCACGCCTCCCGTCTGTCCTCTGCCAGATTAGAGAGACTTCTACTACCTGGTATTTTCTGCCCATGAAGTAATTAGACTCTGTAATTAAGTCACCCCTCAATCTGCTATTTTTATAGGCTAAACAGATTGAGCTCTTACAGCTTACACTCCAAGGCATCCTTTCCAATCCTCTAATCATATTCCCGGCTATTTTTCATGCCCACTCGGGCTCCCAGCGCCCATGTGCAGGGCGGGCGGCCGGGCTGGCCGCAGGCTGGCGGGAAGCAGCCCTCGCCACCCCGCGCGCTCCGCTGGCTCCGAGCCCGGCTCTCGCAGCAGCGCCCGCCCGTGGGAACGAGGCCCCCCTATCCCGTCCCGGGACACGGAGGGCAGAGCCTCCTGCAAACCCTGACCCAGCTCAAACCCCAATTAACTCCGCTGTCTCCCCGCTCCGAGCGGGAGGCTCTTCCAGCCTCCCTTTGTTCCCGCGCTTCATTTCCAGGCACAGTTTGTTTAGGATGGGCTTGTTGTGACCAGCTGTCCCCATGCCAGCGTTCTCATTCCAACTGCCGCATTAAAGCAGCCAGTTCAGGGCTTAGCCCTGGTCCCAAAACCAGACAGAGCACCAGGGATTACCAGGGAAGGGGCAGGAAGGAGGGAGGATCTACCCAGACCCGTCTTGGGCAGGGGCAGCGGTCCCCGCATGTCCCCAGCGTCTGTGTGGCCCCGGCCTTGGCATGTCCCCAGCCTCCACATGTCCCTCCAAGCACTGCTTGCTCATGACTCCCTGTTCCAGGCCCAGGGATCTCGGCCTGTTCTCCCCGGGCAGCTCCACCTCACGGGCCATGTGTCCAGCAGCACCCTGCGGGTGCCCAACAGGGAGCTGAGACAGCGCAGGGTGAGTGTGAGTGCGGCAGTCTCCAGCTCCTCCCAGCCTTCCCGCCTCCAGCCTCCCCTGGTCCACTGGCAGGAGGAAAACGCATCCCGGGCAGGCCGGGACAATCCCCGTGGAGCAGCACCCAGGACGGCCTCGCAGCACCTGATCCCGGCAGCCAGGGCAGGCCGGCGTTGGGCGCCCAGGGCAGGGTGAGCGCTGGGGCCTGGGCCTCCGCAGCCCCGGCACGAGCCCCTTAAGCAGGCTTGGACTTTACCCGGCGAGCGCGGCAGCGGGCGCAGCAGCGGGGCCGGGCAGCGAGCGGCGCTCGGCCGGGCGCGCTCCA